TCCTCTGCGGCGCTGCTCCCCACTCCTTCCGAATGATGTTATCAAATAGTATGGAAATCCTCTGCACGCAAAGCAGACAAGGATAAGTTAATTGACAAGAAATGCTAATTAGAACAGATCCCAGAGCAGCCGGATATCCTTGAATGAATGTTCAGGATGTTCCCTGTGTTCATTTAGTTGCATTATTGCAGTGTTGCCATCATTTGCTCTGATAAAGGCTTGGTGCTGTGCTATAAGTAAGAAACCAGCCTGCTGTACTGTATGACAGAGGGCTGGAAGTGCAGTACAGAGGGTGTTTGTGCCCACAGCCAAACACGTTCTGAGAGCTGCTGCTATAGAAACACCCAACTGCAGGCCTGATGCTTCATGACTATTGATTTAAGAAAGGCTCGATTTTCTTTTCCCCACTGTGGGTAAACAGCACATCTTAATTCATTTGCTCTGAAGTGGGCATTTCACTCACCGTTTGCCCCCAGTGCGGAGCAGGGAAATCGTTCTTTAATAGCTGTTGTGAAGAAAACTGATGAGTGCTTCTCTTTCTGCCCTGCTTTTTGTTTCAGCCTTGTCGAGGGGTCTGCTTGCTGTCGTCACTGCTAAAATGGTTCTCCTTTTAGGTTATGTTAAAGCTGAACATTGGTCCTGGCTTTTTTTGGGGGGGGGGTTTGCTTTTGGGAGCCAGTGAAATCTTCTCAGCTGAGTCTGTTTCTTCCCCGATGTGGGATTTTCGGCTGCTGTTCCCTCCCCGGTGCATTTTGGGATTTTGTTCATCTCAGTCTTGTTTACTGGGGCTGAGAACGACTCCTTTTACCAGTGATTGAATTATCGTTTACAATTAGTCTGTAGGGGTAGGGTTAGACTAAGGATTAGGAGAGATATAAGGGTTATAGTAAACAATTAGGGGTAGGATAAGGGTAAGGGAAAGGGTAAAGGTTAGAGTTATGGGAAAGTAGTAGGGTTAGGGTTAGAGTTAGGGTAAAGGTTAGGGTTACTGGGAAGTAGTAGGTTGAGGGTTAGGGTTATGGGATTATGGTAAAAGTTAGATATAGGGGTAGGGTTAGGGTAAGGGTGGAATCACACCTTTTGGGATCTGATACTTCGAATCAGTGGTCAGAATTACTGTATCTCCATGCGGCATATTTATCCACTGACAAGACAACGAAATACATTTCAGCCCAACATACTGTACGTATATGAGTACCTGCGACACACAGCAAGCATGAGAGGTTCTGGGGTAAAGCATTTACTTAACAGCTGAAGAATGAGTTGGGGTCTTGAACGATCATTTCATCC